GACTGCAGATTCAAGTTACGCCAAGTTTTTGTGAGGCTAATAATGTAGCACGCAAGGGAGATTGAAATGAACACAGAATTTTAGTCGGAAAATCTGACGGGAGGAGATGATTTGATAGAATTAATCGTAGACGGGGGAGATAATATTAAAATGCCTCTGAAGTGTGAAGATGTGGACTGATAGTGTGTTGCTCAAGTTGCATAGAAGTCTGGAAATTTCTTGATCAATTGAGTCATTAGCAGCTTTACAATTTCTTCAAATATAAGAGAGGGGGCAAATAGGACTTCATATTGAAGACGTAATAATAATAATAATAATGATTATGACATCCTGCTGTTACTTCATCTTTCTTGAGCCAAAATATTTTCCTCAGTAACCTGTTCTGAAACATCCTCATTGGAAATTCTTCTGTTAATGTGCACAACTTATTATTTATATTCATTACCAAATATGGCGTGTATTCTGGTAGCGTTATTTTTTTTCTTTTCAATTAACCCTTCTTATGGTGATTATTTAAGACCTCGTTTTGTGTTTTTACGTTTCCATGGCAGCATATAAATATTACTGTTAAAGACCAGCTAATAGTTGCCTTATGTCTGGAGGAATCAGTAATTTCTAGATCACATATCTCGTCTCGCAGTTACCACACATTTTATGTTTTGTTTTTTTCGGGTTTAGCCCACAAACACTTTCTAAATCTGACCCTAGACTTCCATCTGTATAGGCAGATAAGGTGAATTAAAATCGAGATGAACATCTGTGGGACAATGGGCGAGTGTGTCACTTTTGCGCTCACGTAGTGCAAGCTGTCTGCCATAATACGCGTTTATGCAGGAAGTTCTTCTGCCAGGACTGAGTTAGTGCTGAATTTTTGTACTGGGCGACAGAAATATGCCCCTGAATATGAGTCTGTATTGCCTTAAATAGATGGCAGCACGTGTTTAAACGGTGTCATACAATTTTACACTCCCTACAGAGACTTCTGCTTACAAACTTGTAATTTTTATTACGGCGTATTCCATATAAAGCAGTCTAATATTGTAGCAGTGTTTACGATGCAGTTTGTTCTAGAAACACGAGTCATGTTATTCAGCACTGTTACCAGCAGTTTGTGCAGGGGTTCGCGACATCGTCAAAGGTCTCGACAACAGTTTATGCCGGTTTGTCCGCAAGAATCAGGACAACGATGTAAAAACGTGAAGTTTATGTTATGAAGACGCGAGTGAAGGCAGTGGGGAGGGCCAGTTGTCCTGTGTCAGTCTTCGGATACGGTCGGCGATTTCTCCTCGTGCCTTGAGAGACGCAGTTGAGCAGTGATAGGAAATTCACCCAGGGACATTCAAGAAGCTACAGTTGGCTATTCCAGACCCAGTCCCTACGGCAAAGAGAGGAAAATACCTTGTGGAAGGTTAAGGCTAAGATGGGAAGATGATGGATCTCAATACGATGCGAGGGCGTGGATTCCATACGTCAGATTCATGATACTGACCGATGGACTGGAACTGAGAAGACGGTAATTGACGAAGATGTTGATCTTTTGGTATGTGACGTCGTCATGTAGACTCGTAAGTAACACCAACATTTCGGAGGAACATACTGTCTCCATCTTCAGAGCTGAAGTTTCTCCGAAGTGTTCGTGCGTACCGACGTGTTAACACGGCATCACATCCCAGCCGATAGACATCGTCATCGTCATCCTCACCGCCGTGATAACCTCAATTCAAACATGGTGAAAAATCTTTGTTTTTCACATAAAGCAGGTAATTTGTTGATCAGCTGAGCAACTTTTAGATTCTGAAGAAGTCGGTGAATCAAGTGAATAGTTCACGCACTCGGGCTGACTGCCGCTATGTTTCCACCCCCTCCCAGATGGCCTTCGGTGCAAACAGTCTCCATTCTCCTGAGTAACTCATCTGCTAGGTCGGCCTTGGCGCGACTCATTTGCCATTAGCGAAGAGCCCGACCCCGTTTCGTTCGTCGTGATGGGCGATAAAGCAGCGAAACGTTTCTGAAGATAAAAGTCCCCTCTAACAGCTCACAACACGTGTCAGACACCCTTAGTTGTCGTCTCCCCTAGACACTAGCTGTTTGAGACCCCATACGAGGTCCTGAACAACAGACTGACCTTTTCTATCTGCTTCTTGGTCTTCCGATATCTTCTTCTCCTCTGGTAACGTCTGTTTACTTTGTTTCTCATCAACGTTGATACTAGTAAGTTAATTTCATTTTTAATATTATTGTACCAATAAAATAAAGGACATTCGGGTGCAGCATTGAAGGGGGCAAACGCATACAGAATTTTAACTTTCAGACTTAAAGGAAGGAGACCGCTGAGGAAATAAAGGCGTAAATAGGAGGATGATATTAAAACGAATCTCAAATATATATTATAGAGTGTGAATTTGTGGACTTTATTCATCTTGTCCAGTGGCGGACTTTTTTATGAAAGAGGGAAATTTCTTGACAAACCGAGCGACGTTTCCCAAGAATATTTCCATTCCATTTGCCCGCAATTAAACCAATCAGAGGTAATAAAGTTGAATGCCTCATTCCGCCCTCTACGTACCGGGGGGGGGAATAATAATAATAATAATAAATTTCATATGGGGCTAATACATTTCTGTAGAATGTAATTTGTATTTTTATGTGTGAAATTTTGCCGCGTCATGCGGTTGGGAATTGAAGTGGCGGTCTTCAGACATGTCTGCGTCTCGGGCAGGCAGCAAGTGTTGACTCTCCGGCGAGGTGCTTGGGCGTGGGGTTAACAACCTCGCTCTGGAAAATATTTTGTGTTACGAAACTGTTACAAAGGCACAAGACGTGTACCACTTTTCAGTGACAATAACTGGTGATCTGGCTGTCATTGGCTGTGATATTAAGAAGAATGGTTGCGAAGTGTGTGTGTGTGTGTGTGCGTTTCTTGGGATCGGTGTCAGCTGTTTAGACCTTCGGGTTCTGCTGCCACACATTTTGCTCGCAATACGTACAATTTAACACCGGGACTTAATTAACTCAAACGAGAACGACCACGTCTCGTTTGACCTCTCGTATAAAATTATTTTACAGCTTCAGAAGTAGTGGGCTCGACTAAAGGTCATGCTTTCTGGCAATCCATAAAGGTTTGTAGTGCCTGCGCAGTCACAGTTTATTACACGATGACTCAACATCTCGCAAAGCATGGGAACAGACTTCGACTCCATCCAGGTTGTGCGAACTGAGATGGCGTATTCTCTTTGGTAGTGACGTCACCGGTTCAGTGGCTGGCTCTTCTTAGCACGTGCTAATGCTCCTCTGGCACGTGTGTGTCCGTCTGTCAACGATCTGACTTCATTAAACAGAATTATTCTTCAGAAGACAGCCAGTACGTTCAGTTGGTAAAGAATCACACCCTCCGACACTCGAGCGCTCCAACGTACTCGCGGTCACATCACTGACTCAAACACACGACCATTCTTTCTGTTACACATTCACCCATAATTTCCATCGCTTAGACACAGACACTCACACGGGCCACATAAGTCTCCGCGGTTTGCCGAGTCAAAAACTGCAGTCATCCCTGAATTCTTCTTTAGGGAATCTAAAGATTACGTCTGACCTCGGAATTCGAACGTTAAAGAATCAGAACTAACAACATCTGGACTTAGACCACTGTTGGTCTCGTGTAATAAGACAGCTTAGACCGGAGCTGTAATGTGGTTTTAATGGTTCCCATCAATTTGGTAGCCGTGAGGAACTAGTTGGTTGCAGACTGCCCCAGGGGCTGCGCAATATCGGCAATATAACACGAACAACTCCGGTGTTATAATTAATAATAGTGAACTTCACTGCGAGGGTTCCCATTAGCTCGTTTCCATGCCTCAGTAAGTCTCATGTCCATTTAATATTTGGTCACCTGCGGCTGTGAACAATTTGCGGAGTAACTAGAGCTAAGTTTTGTCCAAGACACTCGTTCGGTACTAAAAGAATTAAGGCGTGATCTAAATTTCGGTACTCGACTGAGATGCAGCTTCACGCTGCAGCTCATCTTATGTCCGGTGCTGACTGGATAGGAGACTTAGGGGTCTCAAGACGCTTGTTAAATGAAGAACTTTGCACTTATTGCAAATCTGCAGGATAAAGTTGTGTTTGAAGCCGCTTGGGTTATACAAGAAGACCGGAGAAGTAAAAATGACTATTATGTCATGAGTGTTGCTTGAGGTAGCGTTTGTCTGTATTCATGTGTCTCAGAAAATATCAGCATTATGCGGTTATATATATACACACACACCGTTAAGATAACGGCGCGGAAGAGATATACATGCATGAACTCTTAACCTCGATACCAGGTGGATGTGAGTTGTCAAGCTTCAAGTTCCAGCCGTCTTACCCACAAGGACAGGGTGCTGTACCAATTAGATAAGAGGCTGAGCGGACCCCTAGGCTCGTCAGCGTGTGGTGGCGAAGAACAAAGTCCCGATCGTTGCCGTAAATCCAGATTCTGTCGACCAGCAAGCAGCCAGTCGAAATACTGGCCCTGAGATGCGAACTGTGTAGAGCAGGAGCAAGAAGTGAGGGACACTTTGTTTCTGGAGAAATTTGTTTAAGGGTTCCCAGGCTTTGTCCGCTTGACCTTCAGATAAGGGTGATTCAGTCTAAGTTGCTAGGTTACGGATTACCAGAGACATGAAACGGTTTTCCGTAAATTTTATAACTGATTTATGTGAAAAATGTCGCCTTCAGAGAACGATACGTATTACATGCTGAAGAGATCGGAAATGAACGATTTAATTTAATGCTTACGTGTCTAATTGGGGGACCTCGTGGAAACCGTCCAACGACTTGCTCCATTTTGTTGTTATTCTGTAACGACGTTTTTTGAAGGGAAGAGGGTGGTAGTACAAAAAGGATAAAGGAAAGGAAGGATACAGGAAAATAAGAGAAAGGAGGTAATGAGATAACGATAACAAATGATAAATGATAGGAAATTGAAGATAGAAATAAATGATTCCCCGTTGAATTTCAACGTGCATTTTCACGCTCTTGTAAGATAATAGAAACGTCTGAGGTGGAGCGTCCCGCTGGGGATGTCCGTCGACCGGTCAGCCGGTAGTGGAAACAAGAGAAGGCGTAAGAACTACCACATCCGAAGCGTCCATTAGGACACGCAACATGATAGTTTCTTCACGATGTGTGTGGATCATGATGCTCAGTAATGCGCAGGCTGCTGCACGGAAACAGGGCATTACGTGCACATGAGGGAAGTCTGGCCTGACAACACCTTCAGAAATTGCTATTTCGTGATATGGTAATCATCTTTATTTCTAATAATGGTTCTACAGTTTAGTATAAGTTCAGTTATTATATTTCGTTTTCGAATAAAAAAGTAAAACCTCTTAATTGTGATACTGTTCGAAATTAACACATCATAGACCTTAAGTTCCCGTAATCTTCTCTGATGTGACCTGAGTAAAGAATGTTCAATTACCAGAAACCTGTGGGAAAAAAAAATTCCTTTAATCACTCGGTTCCCACCTGAACATGCGTTTGGGGGGGGGGGGCGAATCTTGCATGTGTGAGGCGGCTGGAGCATGAAGCTCGCCATTTACCTCCATCTAGTACCGAGGCTGGACGTTTACCTTCACCATTTTAAAGAAAGCAGGAAATTTCCTTGATGTCTTCCATCAGTAAATAACTTTGTAATCTCTGTGTTAATCGTAATCGTCTTCCCATGCTTCCTTGTGACTTAGCCGAAACGTCGTGTCACTGTATAGTGCAGTGTGTGCGAGAGAAGTGTCCACTTCATCGCCTGCAAGCCAGTATTATTTCAAGAAGTTAAAAGCAGTCATTATGACCGACAAAACTGCCCGAGGCGCAGCAGCTGACTGACACTCAGTTCCCACTAATGTAATGTAATTTACGTACACTGATTTAAAACGGAGACGACCTTGTGATTCCCTACCCGGATCTTCCGACTGCACTGAACAAGCTCATCACTGCGGTGGCACTACCAGTGTAGGCGCTGCACAGTGACTGTACTCGTTTTGCTCTGTGCTTTAGAAGATGACCGTCTTCTGGGCTGTGTAGCGACGTGTAGAAGTTTAAACTTCTGCCAGACTACACGCCGCTGCAACTCAGAAGGCAGCCATCCTCGGTGACAATTGAATTCTACGGGTGACAAAAAGCAGCTGTTACAAAGACGACCGTCAGCTGATGACTCCAACCGATGGAATCCAAACACGGAACTTCAGGTAATGCGCAATCAAGACAGAGACGCAAGTAAAACGTTGTTGCGGTTCAGAAGCAGATCGCATAATTGATAAAGTATTGATGACATATTACATTCAGCTATCACAGACTCATCTTAAGCGTAACTAATTCAAGTTAAATAAGCAAAGTCTTAATCAAACTTTACTCAATTGTAAAGCATGTATAAAGGAAATATTTAGAATAAAGCCAATATATAAAATTCCTTTCCGTATAGACGTATTTACGTCAAATTCTCCGGAACCGTGGTTCCACTGACAACTTTTTGACCAGCTGAGATACTATTAGGTACTACTGGGTACTGTACCCTGTTAAAGGTACCCAAACATTTTTCTGCAGGGAACTGAGGGAAATCTTAAAGAACTAGCCTGAGTCTCTCAATGATACTCGACTGTGCTCGCCGTGAATTAGATCTGCAAATTTCTACGGGAATATAGAAACGCGAGGAAATATTTTAACTTAAATGAGAACTGTGTGTTCAAAAGTTGGTTGTACAGAACCGACTTGTTGCTGGGTGACCGTGAAACAAACACCGATCACGTCGGTCTACACGCCACGTCATATCCGCCACACTGCTTGTCGGTAGTTATGTTCTACCCGACAGATGCCGTGTCAGCTTCGTACTTATAAATTTCGAACGAATTCATTCTGTGACTGCTCGAAATTCCCGGTATGACAGTACGAACAGGTGTGCGTGTCTCCGATTTTGTCAAATTATCTTCTGTTCTGTACGAGCGTGAAGCTGGTCTTTCAGTGAAAGACAGGAATATAAACTGAGGACGAGACTTCAGGTTCTCAGGGCGCCGAATACGAAGATTACTTAACATCTTCTGGAAATTTGCTTCCTGTACTCGGGTAGAAATTGACCAACGCTTACTACCTCCACCATCAGGTTGATGAGTCGTCTAGCACAGTGGTATTCAACCTGGGGTACGCGTACCCCCGTGGGTACGCGAAGACATCTTAGGGGGTACGTGAAATTAATATATATATATATATATATTACTTTATGATAAACATTGAATTATCAGTAATGTAATTTATTTAATTTATTTTAGATGCAGATTATATACTATGTATAACTTGAATTATACACCAACAACTTTGGGGGTACAAAGTTGAAGAGAAACTATATCTGGGGGTACGCGAACAAAAGGGTTGAATACCACTGGTCTAGCAGACCACACGGTGCGCTCCATCCTCGTCTCCATGTGAACCTGAAATCTTACAGAAGATAATTGCTTCGACGAAGCTGTCTAATCTACTGATATTATTTCAGTGTTTGATGAACAACACGTAGGAATTATTCTGAAAAGGAATGTCGAAGATGAGCCTGTGGTTTGTTTCCTGATAGTATCCTAACATAGCACGGGAACGCATTTGGATATTCAGCCGTCGTGGGGTCTGTGCCCTGGGCGAAATTCGAGCCGGATATATGTTGAATGCGGGCCTTGCTGCTTCGGCTAATCGACACAGTGACTCGCTGTGAAGAACTGCCATGCGGTGACGGGAATCATCAATCCTCCCGCTGGGCGCCATTTTATCCTTGACTTATCTGAACCAGAGTGGTCATTCCTTATATAGCAATGATCTCGTGGTCCATGTGAACAATAACCAATATTTCGTAACGGCTTCGGGTTACGATTTATTTAACCCTTTAAAGCGCATCCTGTATGCCATTTTCTGTGACATTCCATAACTCTGCAATTAGATCAAACAATTATTAACTAATTAAATCCCTGTATTTACGTGTCTCTTATGATTCTCAGAATAAACAGCGATTATTCCCTTAAACAGCTTTAACCAGACGATTTTTGTAATGGTGAAGTGTGGTGTTTACTTTGCGGTACGGACTGAATTCTTAAATATTGTTTAGACGAGCATATGGGGGTTCAGACTATTAAAGGCGGTGGGAAACACCGGAATCCAATTCATGTACAGTATCTGAAACAGGTTCAGGAGAGAGTCCATAGGGAGAACATATTAATGTAAAATAGGACATTAGACAGATAGGCCTAGACTCAAAGGATGTGAACTACTGTACATTAACAGGCATAAACTATAATAGAGAATTACCTTGGTTATGGTGGGTGATTAAATTATGGTCCGAAAATATGAAGGAATTTTTGAATATCTAGGATTGATTTAATGCTCAGAGATCGTACAATACCAGGATGTACTTCATTATTAAGCAATTACGTAATTAGTCTGTCTTCTGACCAGTCACGTAGTCTGCGAGTTACGTATCTGGTTAATCACTTGGCCAGTTCGTCGGGATGGGATCGGCAGGTCCTGTAGCTGCCACAGGAGAGATGAGGAATTCGTAGGACATTTAGTCCTCAAAACCCGAAGTTGCGAGATCAAGGCGTAGATGGGAGTATACTATCAAATTGATTTTGAAGAAACAGGGTGTGGGGATGTGGACTGGATTGATCTGTCTCCGAATATAGAGCAGTGGCAGGTTCTTGGCTTTGCTTAATGGAGTTAGTAGGTCACTAAGCCAGTAAGTTAAGCAGCGCTACAACTATTGTTTTGATAGTACCTGTCTTTCTTCTCCTAAACCTTGCCCATTGCTGCTGTCAAATTCATCTATCCACGTTGTCCCCTACGAAAGAGTCAGCTATGTACACCCCTCTCAAGTCTGAATATTTTTCTCAGAGCCTTGCTATCAGAAATCCTCGATCAATAATAATTGATCAGGATTCACACCCACATAAAAGAACAAGAAAATGTATTGTGTAATAATTGAGTAATATATGAAGGCATCAGCTGAAGTAATTTTATGTGGTGATGATGATGCTTAAGTTTCACTGAAGAATTCACCTAAAATATGAATCATATAAATTGTGGTGATTACGCACTTCGCTTAAGTGCAGTTCTTGGTACAAGAACGTTCGTGCTCGGATGTGGCCATTATGAGTCAATGGAGTGGTGATCGTGATGATACCGTTCTCCTGGGTTTCGGCGCCGTGTATACTCGTCGGTAGAGGCTAAAGTTTCGGAGAGACATACTGTCTGCATCTTCAGGGTGACCAGTCTACACGGCAACAAAACTCAGAACAATTGTTCATGATCTTTAAGTTGTCAGAAATATTATTGTGTTGCTGGTCACGCTGAATGCAGTCTCTCACCTTGCACTGACTGACTGACTGAATGACTGGACTGGTCAGCTCGTTAAGCGATGCACGTGGTAACTCCGACCCGTCACATCGTAACTCATCCAAGACGATTTATGAACTTGTAACAGCCAAACTGGGTCACCCAATAAAACATGACGAGTGTAAGGAGAGGCGGTACTTTAATGAGAACTCTATGCCCCCTGGGTAAAGGTGACATTTTGTTTAGTCTCTGTCCTAAGCGGGAGGAATTTTGGAAGCACATGTTGTTTACATTCCCTACCACAAAAAGACAACAAAAAACAGACAGCCCCATTACGAAAGCCGTAGCAGACAATTGCCGAACTGTCTGCGCTGTGATTCTGCTAGTTCAGCCGTTAACACCGTGCTGACGAAAATGGAACAATCTTTTACGACTAGTCGGCTCTTTAATTCCGTGCAGAATTATTGTATGTCAATTTCTAAGGGTACGTATCTACTCTCTAATGTAATGAGTCCCATCATAAATCAAACATCTAAATGACCCCGATTCTATTTAATGACGCTGTATCAACTGCAAGTTTAAGTCACGAGATTTCGTTTATGTACATTTTGATTTTCAAAGAATCTGGGACTAATAAGTAGTGACATTTCTCTTGATTTGCTTGAAATGACAGAAAAACTCTGTTAATAAGATAGTGAATAAGTCATAGTGTCAGTGCGCGAAACAGTCTGTTTGGCATTCATTCAGCATGACATTCATCAATCAGTCATCCAGTGAAATGAACCAGTCACTGATCAGACAGAAGTCTTTTTCGTTTCGTTTCATTCTGGGTTAGAATTCCAGTAATTATTATTCGCGTCCCGTAAAGTGACTTGGATTAACAGGCTCAGTACAGTCTTTGTACATCTCCACGCTCCTCTGCCTTACGTAACAGAAGGAGGAAACAGATCAAGGTTCAGATGTTACGGACGACATGAAGTTACATTGCTACACTTCTTGTTAAAGGATCCGTGAGAACTCAAGAGGATGTTACTATGGTAACGGGACAATGAAATGCACAGGAAGTTCCATTGTTCCGTGCAGTTGGTCACAGAATAGGATCAAGCAAAAGTTAGCTACCTGTTTCGTCGCTTTTAGCATGCGCTCAAGGCCGCCCCACAGCAACGCACTGAACAACGACCTTGCACTCATTTCTCGCTCTGCGAACTTGTCCACGCTCGATGAGCACCACGAATAAAAGGAACAATGATGATTATGCCCTGTGGGATGTTCCGACAGCGTTATGTAAGCTTAATGGCGAGCAGACTTGTCTTTCTGCATTGCTTTCGGTTTCGTAACAATCTTAAGTGCACGGAATTCTGGGTAGCGAAGCGTCCGAGCTTTTGATCCGGGATTATGACTGCTCACGTGCTAAGAGTCCCAGGTTCCATTCCCCGTAGGGGCGTTGTTTTGTAAAGAACAAAGTGACGTCGCAGCGTGCACCCAGAAAGTTAAGACTTCAGTGTTGTTGTTGTTGTTGTTACAAGCGTAGTGTACGAACCGTCAAAGCTGACAGGAATAAATCGGTTTTGTGTTGAACAGTAATACAACTTATTGCAAATCGTATTGAAAGTATGAAATTCAACCGAATGAAACGCTGAAACTTCTTACGCGCGACTGAAGACAGATTCCCGCAGACTCCACCACACCGCCGCCATATCCTCGTTTGTATTTCTTGCTAACAGAGTCGCCACCG